CTCTCTCTCTCTCTCTCTCTCTCTCTCTCTCTCTCTCTCTCTCTCTTTCTCTCTCTCTCAAATAAATAAAAAAATTAAAAAAAAATAAATCAGATCCAAAGAGAACCACGAAACATGGTGATATCTAGGCAAAGGGAGGCTTCATTTGAGCCTCCATACAGAAGACTTTTTTACATTTCATTTGCACTTTTTGCTACCAATTCAAAAAATGAAAGCCAATCTACAACTCTAAGGAAGAACTGGCCCTATTGGAAGGCCTCTGTCTCTTAGAAGGTATTAAAGCAGCTTGCTAGGTGAATTATGCTGCTAACTTAGCGTATCTTAGCCTACTGAATATTTACTACATGCTAGGTACTATGTTAGGCTCTTTATAGATGTTAACTTCTATGATCCTCAGCCAATTAGGTAAGGCAGGTATAACAAAAGGAGTTCATGTCACACTACTGCAGTCCGCTCTTACAACTGATGATGGTGAGGCCGAGTGAGGTGAAGGACTTGCTGAAGGACAAAACCAATAAATGTAGTCACAAATCAGCTAAGACTTCTCAAAAATAGGTGTTACCTGCTACCCCATGCCACTTCCAGAAAGGAGAATTTTTAGGCGATTTCTTATTCTAGTAATACTAGTACCCAATCCTCCTTGATTTTTGAGATCATGTAAAATTGGAGGCACCCACAACATGGCAGTTTTCTGTTGGTGTGTTCGGTGCTCGACCCAAAGCAAGCATTATCCTTAGTGACCAGCATAGACCATGGACAGTGAGAACAACAGAGCAGCAAAATGCCCAGCAGCTTGCCTAAGCCAGGGTATATACACATGCAGCAGAAAATGCAAAAGAAGAAATTGTTCTTATCCAAGTAGTGTTCTAGCTACTTGTATATTTTAAGTCATATGTTTTCAACTCAGTCCTCTAACTCATGTTTTCATAAATACAGCTTAAGGCTCAGAAGACAAATGTTTTCACACAGATTTTCATTCTATTGCCTTGTCTGGACACAGTTCACTTATGAGGCCAAGGACAATCTCTTGGTGGCCAGAACCTGTGAGACTTTCACTGATAGGATTTGCCCTATAAATACAAGATTTGTCTCTCCTATATCCTATTAAGGAATAGGATAGACTGTAGGCAGTGCCTCTGGGGAAAAGAACTCAAGTAATGAGCACAGGAAATGGCTTTTCACTTAGGTAACCATGTGCAAGGAACCCTATAAAACCAGAGGAAGATCTCTGGACGGTACTAATGTAATGAACATTTTACAGAAGTGCCCTAGCACTTAAAGACTGCTACAAACATTTTACTTGAGTCTCAGGATGGGAAAAGAAAAACAGCCTACCAATGTTGAGGCAGTTAGCACATATTTCATCTTATGAATGAGTTCCATGTTTAATACCTAACAGAACGAGTTCTCTTAGGTATTTAAATCTATAGACAATATAAGTTCCATGAAGTCAAGATACAGTCCCTGGTTATCTTTATTTTTCCCCCTTTTTTAACTTTATTGTTGCAACTCAGCCTTTAGAATGTGGCTGGCATATAGTAAGTTATCAGTGAGTAACTATTGAGGAAATGAAGCAACATGATCATGATTTTATAAAAAAAGAAGTGGCAGATTATAGAATTTTTGACACTACATGGCAAGTTTGTAATAAAGCAATCTAGGCAAAGGGGAAATCACCCTAGGGAAAGCACAGGTCTGACAGAAGGCAGCTGGGAAAGCACCACAGTCTGCTCCTTGAGAGGAAGCTCCAGACAAAACAAGTGCTAGCAGCACCACACAACTACTTGGAATTTTCTTCAATACTTTCTAGTCTGTGAAGAAGCTAGAAAATGGGATGCACTACAGTTAGCAAAAATACCTTGTGGTGAGACTTAGAGCCCAATCATAATTTACATTTTCAGATATGTAGCTCTCTAAGGGCATGGCTTCTGCCCTGATTACTAATTAATGAGGTGCCAAAAGGCCTCCTGGAAGGAAACAGTGCTGATGATGTCTGTCCTGTGGGACAGAGCAGCTCTGTGGTCTAAGGTGGCAGGCAATTCCTTTAACATACATTTCAGTAAATTAAAAGAACAAAACAGGGACAGAAGGCTTACAGAAATGGAAGCGAAAATTTTTAAGAGAAATGTGGGCTCTCAACCCTCTAGCGTGGTGGAAAGCCAAATCCCTATTATAAGATGAATCTCATCAAATAAATGCACGTTTTTGTGGCAAGTGTACCTTTACTTAATCAGTAGGCTGAATTCTGATGCAAATTTACTGGTACAATTTAAAGAATAGTGCAATAAAACAATCAGGGCAATGAAAAAGGATAAAAACCCTGAAACAAAGCAGTAGCCTCATTCTTAAGGCACAATTCCCTTCTTGCTCAAGCTCTCTTCCCACCATCAGGCAACTGTGTATTATGTTGGGGGACAGAAGCAAGAGCCAAGTACCACGTGGCCCTGCTCCAGGCATGCCCTGAACATCGGGATACAGAGACTATCCTGTAACAGTCTCTCATATCTTTACAGTAGAGACAAATGAGACAAGGAAATAAGTGTGGTGATCATAGTGGAAAGTTCCTGGGCCAGCAATTTCCACCTTCCAGAAAGAAAAAAGCAGCTGGGGTGGGCTATTTCTTGACTTATTACTTATTTTTAAGTGCTGGGCATCTAACCCAGATCCTCCTACATGCTAGGCAGTGCTTCTACTTCTACCACTGAGTTACAGCCCTTCCCCACCCAACTTTTTAAAGATGCAGATATTATTAAATGAGACAGTTGGTTAGCACCTACCGTTTGATTTTTCACTATCTGCAGGTTTCATCTGAATGGGATGATGCATCTAAAAACACAAAAGTGAGAAAGTAAAGGCAGATTGAACAACTGTAAAACCAGTTTCAGAAATGTGATACTAGTTTAGTACTGGTGCTATTCCAAGGGAACACAAGTAATAAGACTTCTCCCAGGTAAAACTGTCTATGTTAAAGACCAAGCAAGCTTTTATATTCAGCAATATAACCCTTTTAAGTCGCACTGTAACACTGTACTTCACACCTTGGACTTTGGAATCAAGCTTGAATTTAAAACCAGGTTCTGCCACTCAGCATGGTTGCTGTCTTTATAATTATTGGTTTTATCATTCATTACATCTGTGTCATTTTGGGCTAGTGTTTTGAGCTTCAATATCCTCATCTGTAAGATGCAAATAGTACTTGCATAGAAGGGTTAAATGAGAAAGTTCTTCTTATATAAGCAGAAACGAAGGGTACTGAAAAAAAATATTGTTATTGTATTACTACACATTTAAATGTGGGTTGCTGTTTCTCTTCTGGCCATTTTACATGTCTGTTTTGTGAATTTTTCTTACGGGTCATAGAGTGATTTAAAAGACTAGCACCGGATTACTCATTTTTACTAAATGCTAAATATAAAATAGGAATGCTGAGCCACTGAAAATTTGGAGGGAAGGAAAAAGGAAAGAGTAAGGAATGGTAGAAGGGATACATGGACTTATGGTTATGACCAGTACGTATACAGAGTAGAAGGAACTTAAACCAAATGGGGCTGAGGTCCTGAATCCTGGAAGACCCTGATGCTCCATGGTTCTTTATGCAATGCCAAATGCACCACTTTGCACAATCCATACAGTTCGCTCCAAGCACATAATGCTACCACCATTTCCAATTAAAATAAATTCCTGAAACTACTTTCAGAGGTCTTCTGGATGCGTATTTCATCATACCCTAAGGAACACAGAAGCTACAGGGTGGATGGAATCACTGGCTGTGCAAATGCTTTTATTATAACAGGTCCCATTCTCTCTGAACCTTTAATTTCCCCAGTGGACTTCCATCACTCGAAAGCCACAGCTCGGGATTTTATCTAATTTAAATGAAAGGGGAATGGTACTTGGCTCTGGCACTTATATGAGAGGAAATTATTATCGGGCGGACCATGTGTACCTAATACATGCCAGGGTCTTTAGAACACAAGCAGAAGAAGACAGGGAGGATTCCCAAGAGATATGAGGCTAAATAATTCACAGCTGCTTTGATTTCCCTGAAAAGCATTAAGCTGTTATGCACAGAACATAAGCGTTGGGATAGCAAGTCTCCAATTTCCCACTTCATTTGTTCATATACTCAGTTTGTGGAGGAGAGATTACAGTGGGAATGGAATGTGTAGGGTCCTAAATGGCCAGTCTTTTAAAAAAAATTGTGGAAAACAAACCTTTAGAAACTGGCAGAAGTAAACTGTGAAAACCCTTCATTTGGGTTGAGGAATGTGGCCTGTATACTACAGTAACAGATAGAAGGATACAATAAAATGTTTGGAAAACACTGACAGAGCCCTTGAGTAAGACTGTATCTGTCATTCTGCAAGCATGGAATAGCTACCAAAGGGCTGACTCTAGGCTCAGGCCAGAGAACAAAGGCCAGGTGAAGAAGCATCTCCACTTCAGTGCTCATTGTGTGTTTGGGGAGACACTGCTGCAAACAGGCAGCTGAGCAACATGAGAAGAGATGGGGAGAAGCAAGAGAAAGCTGCTGCATCACTGGCACTCAATTTTGCTTGGTGAGGAAGGCAAATGTTTCCCAGTAAGAGTTCTATAGCTCTAGTTCCTGGAGTTGGCACTTGAGGAAGAGGGATGACACATGAAACTCACAGGATATCCCATGCAGAGATACAGAAGTAAGGGCACACAGAGCATGAGGAGTGCATCATGTGCAGGGGAAGAGCAATGACGGGGGGATGTGGACAGGGTCAGTATCAAGTGCTGAGATGGCCTCTAAGCCAAGGAACTGAAACTCTGTCAAAAGTTCACGGTCAGGTATAAAAGATTTACGGGCAAAGGCAAAAATATCAATATTTTAGTCCAGGAAGGTTACTTTGGCTTAACATGGAGGATGGATTATAAAAGAGAGACACAGTAGGCAGGAAGAACAGCTACGAGGCTTCTAGAAACAGTCCAGGTGGACTGAAGGTATGAACATCAGTAGTATAAGGGAGAGCTCCAGGTCTAGACCACTAGATTGACTAGGGGAAGCATTGCCGAACAGGGAAATGAGAGCAAGCAGTTTGGAGACAGCTAACACGTGCAGGTCTGGACATATTAAATTGATGTGGCTGTGATGTACAGAAGAGATAGACATATGGGACTAGTGTATGAGGCAGGCCAGTACTTTACAGCCTATTGTGGGAGGTGGTGGTGTAAGCCACAGGCATCAATGAAGCTGTCAAAGAGGAAACTGAGGGTGAAAAATGATGACAATGATGTCTCCATGATGATAACATTGGAGAAGATCTGGAAAAAAATGTCTAGAGGGAAAGAGCAAACAGGCAGAATCAGGAGCAACTAGTTCCTTCCATGGGGCAAAAGGCTGGGGGTTTCTAGCACAAGGAGATATTCAGAACAAGTGCTGTTAGAGGCTATGATGACATTGCCAAACCATCTCTGACTCTGGCAAGTAAAACAATTTTTCAAGGAATTTATCAAGGCAGGGGCCAGAACTCCAGGCTGTAGGGAGTGAAGGAGCCATGGAGAGGACACAGGGGATATGCTGAAACAAGACTACTATAGTGAAAAAAAAAGACTTCTATATTGAGATGATCAGTTGTGCAGGGGGAAGCTAGTAAGATCAGTGGAAGATGGGAGCACAGAGTGGTAGGTGGGGCTTTCTGTTCTTACATTAGTTAATGTACTAAAACATCAGATGAGACTCACAGATTAAATACATAGGAAAGAGGACCTAAGTGTGTCCATGTTACATAGGGAACACAAGAATGAAATGAATATGGCTGTTTCCCTCATGGAAGGAACAGTCCATTATAGTTATTAATATGTGCATATTTTGAAAAAGCTGTTGGCAAACATCGGAAGGGGAGCACAGATAGATATGAGCATTTAGGTTTATCTGTGAAGTATACAGCTGACTGGAAGAGAAAATCTAAGAGCAAGAGAGGCAGTACCATTCTACAGTAAAGCTGAAAAAGGGCTCTGCAAATCACAGTCCAGTGCTCTTGGTTTATAGGTCTGAAGGGAATAAGTGACTCCACTAAGGACACACAGCTGGTTAATGATAGAGCTGGGATCAGAAATCTAATCTCCCTTCTCTTACCCTGGTGATGGCTCCCTTACATCACATTGCTTCTCCACAGATGTCCAACATGGGACTTGGACATGTGGGTCTTCAATTAAGAACTGCAGGCTTTACTCATTAAAGGAGCTATACAAACACTTGTTTGAAGATGTAGGCAATGTCCCTCTAGCTGAAAGCAATCTTTCCTTACTCTAAACTCCCACAACACTTTGTCTCTATAACTCTATGGCTACAGTAAGACTTCACATTTTCTTTCCTTATAGCTCAGCATTTAGAAGGCTTAGGGAAGTGATAGCAGTCGTAAAAAAATGCTACTGTCACTATACATTTAAATTGTGTTTTGGTCTTTATCAGTCCAAGGTGGGTGGCAGGGTGAGGGGGGTGCAGATCTACTTTCTACTTAGAGACCTGGACTGTCAGACCCTGGTGAAATCTGAATGGGCGGTCACTATGATATGAATATGCCCTGGAGACAATTTAGATAATGTATGTAAAGCACTGTGACCTTCCTTGAGAAAGATGCTCAATCAGTACACTATTAAGAATGGCTCATTATCATGAACAATTTATTTCTGAATTTCTGATCACATACAGGATGTAAATGGCAAAGAAGACAAAAGCAACAATGGAGGAGTCATTTCTATAATGCTTTATTTTCTCAAAATTTTATGATCCTAGGAAATTTGGGAGATATCTTGAGGGAAGCAGGGAAACCTTTGTAAAAGAGAAGGTTTCCTAGTTTAAAGTTTCAGCCTGTAATAAAGGGCCTTTCCCCACAGCACAAAGGGTTTCAAAGATTTCAGTTAGTATAACTCTAAGACTGCCCATCCTTTCAATTGTTTCTGCTTTTAGCAGAACAAATGTTAGATGCTAGGAATGCAAGGAGTCCTCAGCATGATGGAGCTTATAGTGTATAGTGTGGACAGGCAGAGCAACCATCTTCCAGAGTACAGGATGTGTTGTACTAAGACCTGCAGTGTGGAAACCTGGGAAACAACGCTGAACACAGACTGAGGGAAGACAAACTGGAGAAGGCATCTCAGGTAGGTCAGTATTTCAGTTCCTTACTATATTAGCAATACAATTATTAGGAAATGTGCAAATGACATTTCAGGAAACATAGTATGAGAAAATAGGTTACACTGTTCCTAAAGAATCATGACATTCTTAGCAGCAGAGGAAATACTAATGGTTCTTAAACATCAGTAATCAAAAAGAGTACCAAGAAAACCCCTCCAAACTGAAAACATAGTAAGACTAATAAGAGAGGATAAGGTGCAAGAAAAAATGGTAAATGCCTAAGGTAAAAAAATATTATAGTAAAAGACACATTGCCATCAATCCCCCTTAAAATATTCCCCCTGACTTCAACCATACTTATCTCCTATTCCTACTACTTTCACAGACAGTTCTGGAAGCCCTCCTTAACTAAATGTCTTTAATTGAGCTGTTGCGGCTGCATCAGTATCCTGAACTGATTCAAGACAGGTACCTTTCACGGTTATTTTGACTTTGGAGAAGAGCTTGAGGTCACATGGTACCAGATCAGTGAGTGAGGGGTACGAGGGCACAACAGTTTTACAAGCAGGAGCTTCGCTGCTGGGTGGGATGTGGCAGCAATAACATTCATCGTATTTTGATTGCACTTCAGAAAAGGGCAGGAAGGATGGGATAAAGTTTATGTAAGGGGAAGTGTTTGAAGGGGATTAAGGAAAATGTCTTTTATAATACATTTGAAAAA